ATTTATTTATTTATTCATTTATTTATTTATTCATTTATTTATTTATTTATTTATTTATGTTCGTTGACAAATCTACGCTCCCCTCCCCTGTTGGGTAAACCATGTTCTGATCACGTGTTCTATCTTCCCGCCGCCATTTTAGTTCACTAGATGTTCTGTAAGTCCATCAACTTTGGTTTCGTTTTTATTCTCTTAAAATTTATTTTTTAACMAAGAAAAATTCCAGAACTGCTCTTCAACCACCAAAGAAAGGTCTTTTAAAAAAGTTACTTCTCAATTAAGAGAATTTCGCTGTTTTGGGAAGACGAAAAAATCGTGTTTGGCGCCAGTTCTACAAAGCTGAATATTTTGAGCAAAAATTCTAAAATTTGCTTTGGTTTGGCACAGTAAAGTCTTAAAAACACTTAATATGATAAAAACTAGCTTTTAATTCTTCGACATCTTAGAGGAAGAAAGTCTTGAGAAGAAAATAGGATGTTTGGTGATGAAGAATGTCGCTCAGAGAAACCAAAAGAAGTCGACGAAAAAGGTAAAGAACTCCAACTTTTTTTTTCTCCATCTAAGCTTAGGTACTTTTTTCTTTTCGTTTCAAAAGAAAAAAATACTTCGTATTGTATATTTTGGCGTCGTTATAGTGCTGAATTTTGTTTTAAAAAATATTAATTTCGGAGTGGCTATTTGTACGTCACCCATACGGTGACTTGTCTTTGCTATTCGTACGGGAGTCAAAAATTTCGTCGATTTTCTCGGGAACTCTGTATTCTTTTCCAACATAATAACGATATTTTTTTTTAGACCAGTTAGGCGTTTCATGTCAGTGATGTTATTCTGATTCAAACTTATTTGACGAGTCTGTACTCAGTAGCGAGCAACTCACTTTCGCGACACTAAGTTAGGGACGGACCATTAGATAGTTGATGGGGGCTGCGTAAATCCCAATGTTGTTAAAAAATGTTGATAAATATTCGCTGAACTCCGACTCCCGTACGAATAACAATCGCGAATAATTCGTACGGGAGTAAAAAATGTTGGTAAATATTTGYTGAACCCCGACTCCCGTACGAATAACAATCGCGGTTATTCGTACGGGAGTGAAAAATGTTGGTAAATATTTGCTGAACCCCGACTCCCGTACGAATAACAATCGCGGTTATTCGTACGGGAGTGAAAAATGTCAATAAATATTCGCTGAACCGAGACTCCCGTACGAATAACAATATCGGTTATTCGAATGACGATCGCGGTTATTCGTACGGGAGTGAAAACTGTTGATAAATATCAGGTATCAAGCATTACGAGAGGTTTCTGAGGGGTTCACTGCTTGTACCTACCACCGAAATCATTGGTTTAACCTCGTCCCTTGTTTCAAAATTTGAATTTGAAGATGTTTTCCATGATTCGAAATAAGATAAAACGAAAAAATTCATAGATAAGACCTTTTTCTTTCTTTCTTTTTTGTTGCATAGATTTCAGAAAAAGTGAAGATATGGCAAAGAACAAAGATGAAAAAAGGAAATACTATGAAATGGAAACAGTTCTAGACGAGGACATATCACATGATGCTAGGAATATTGAAAAAATAGGAAATGGGAAAAAGAAAATAGATGGGAATGGCCATGTACCTCTTCAGATGAGCTGTGACTTTGATCGCGTTGGAGATGGTGAAGTTAGTGAACTTGAGGACAATGAAGAATCGATAGATTTGACTAGTCTGGATGCAGAGAGTATGAAGCTTTTCAATGAAAAATATTCCCAGGTAAAAATATCTTCAAGAATACCATCACCAAAAAACATGGAGTTTCAACCATCTTCTGACGCATTAACTGAAAAATCATTAAACAATTTAGGAAAAGATTTGAACTCAAAAACTACACACAAATCTGAAAATAACTTGGGAAAGACTGCTGAGTGTTCTCTAGATGAATGTAAAGATGTAAAGAGTTCTACGGAAGTGTTAAGCCATCAAGAACAACTCAAGATTAATTCCAACTCAAGCGTGGAAGATAAAAATGTTCTTTCTCCAACATCCACACAATCTATTCCACTGTCTAGATTTTCCGATTTATTGAGCTCCAATCCAATGTTCTTAGGATCTTTGGTGACACGAAATGGATCAGTTTATTACCAACCAGTGCAGAGTCTTAATTTAAACACTGGACTCGCTATTCCTCCTCTTCTTCCTGGCACAAATTATCATTGCTATGTTATGGCTCCTAACAAGAGTGATCCGAACTCCTCAGCGTCCAATCCCGATTTTCTTGTAAATCCTAATCCAATTGAAGTACCTTTGTTTACTAATTGTGCAACACCAGCTAGTAGTGCGAGTATGATTTCATTAGATTCACTACAGAGGGCATATTTGTGTATGACTGCTTCAAGTGTCAACAATCCCAACTCCATTCTTTCCATTCATGTGAACCGGCCAACTAATATAGTAGTCTCAACTAACGCTAGTAATGAAAACGTTATCTCATTAGAATCGTTACAACACGCCCTTTCTGGTATAATGGTTCCAAGCAATCCCAACTCCATTCCGACCGTTCCGGTAAATCAACCGTTACAGCATCCCCCTTCTGGTATAATGGTTCCAAGCAATCCCAACTCCATTCCGACCGTTCCGGTAAATCAACCGTTACAGCATCCCATTTCTGGTATCATGGTTCCAAGCAATCCCAACTCCATTGCGACCATTCCGATAAGTCAGCCAATGGTTCTTCCTACTTGTGCTGGCGCTAAAACCTCATTTACGGCGACAGAGTCAATCTCTTCAAGCAGCAACATCATCACGTCTGCTTCAATGGATTCCAACCAAAGTCAGGGGGTTACGAGTTCACAGCTGTCTACCTGTGCGCAAGCCAACGTTGAAAGAATATGGCGAGTACAAGATCAATCTTCTTCCATTAGTAACGTGCAAGACTCCGGAATTTCCATTAAAGGTGATGCCTACAAAAATCAAGTGTCTAGGAGTTTAGGATTGTCACATTTGTCTATCCACAAGCATGGCAGCGCGGATACAACGTGTGTAGCAGAAGATCAATCTTCCATTAGAAACATCCAGGACTCTACGCCCTACTTTACCTACGAGAACAAAGTGTCTAGAAGTTCAGGATTGTCTGAGTTGTCTATCCGCACGTATGGCACGGAAGAAAGGACATTGGATGATGGAGATGTATCTTCTATTAACAAAACTCTTGACTCCACTCCAGGATATCAGGTGTATAGGAGTTCAGAATTGTTACAGTTGTCCACGCGCACGCGTGACTATGAAGAAAGGATAAGGAAAGAAGGAGATCTATGTTCTGTTAGCAAAAGGTTTGACTCCATAGTGTCTACTTCAGCAGACACGAATCGGGTGTGTAAGAGTTCAGGATTATCTCATATCTGTGCTACTACAGAATCTACAGTAGAAGCTGACCAAGAATCTTCTATCAATACCCCTCAGGATTGCAGAGCGTCCATGCCAGTAGATACCAGAGAAGCTAGAATACTTTCTAAAGCGGAAGAAAAAGGAAGGCTTGAGAAAAAAGATGAAGATTTGAATCATTTGGAAAAAGTTGTTAACCAAGGTAGGTGTTGTATTTTTTTTTGTTTTTAATCTGTTATCATACATGCTTTTCAGCTATGCTGCAATGTTTTCCCATTTAGTCAAAGTGTCATTCCCTTGAGTATTATTTCTTTACTAGGAACACTTTTCAGCTATGGTGCAGTGTTTTCCCATTTAGACCACGTGTAATTCCCTTSAGTATTACTTATTTCTTTACTAGGATTGTTTTTCAGCTATGGTGCAATATTTTCCCATTTCAGACCATGTATCATTCCCTTGAGCATTAATTCTTTTTACTAGGAATGCTTTTCAGCTATGGTGCAATGTTTTTCCATTTCAAACAATGTATCATTCCCTTGAGTATTATTTCTTTACTAGGAATGCTTTTCAGCTATGGTGCAATGTTTTCCCATTTAGACCATGCGTCATTCCCTTGAGCATTAATTCTTTTTACTAGGAATACTTTTCAGCTAAAATAAAATATGTTCCAATTCTGTATTATGTGGCATCATTTCTTTGTTAAA